GGTTTTAAGGCTCTATCTCTCATAGTTTCCGAGATAATCGCGAAAAACGAAATCGCAAAAAAAAATTAATTCAATTTATCTTGTATAGGGTCTAGGAAGTGGAAAAACGCAATTCTGAGCCGTCCATCAGACTATAGGAAACCCAAATTTCCTCAGGAATCGAATGGAATAGCTTTTAAGGCTCTATCTCTCATAGTTTCCGAGATAATCGCGAAAATCGAAATCGCAAAAAAAAATTAATTCAATTTATCTTGTATAGGGTCTAGGAAGTGGAAAAACGAAATTCTGAGCCGTCCATCAGACAATAGGAAACCCTAATTTCCTCAGGAATCGAATGGAATAACTTTTGAGGCTCTATCTGTCATAGTTTCCGAGATAATCGCGGAAAACGAAATCAGAAAAAAAAAATTCAATTTATCTCGTATAGGGCGTGGGAAGTGGAAAAACCGCAATTCTGAGCAATCCATGTGCTTATAGGGGACCGAAATTGGTTTTAAGGCTCTATCTCTCATAGTTTCCGAGATAATCGCGAAAATCGAAATCGCAAAAAAAAATTAATTTAATTTACCTGGTATAGGGTGTAGGAAGTGGAAAAACGCAATTCCGATCCATCCATCAGACTAAAGGAAACCCAAATTTCCTCAGGAATCGAATGGAATAGGTTTCAAGGCTCTATCTCTCATAGTTTCGGAGATAATCGCGAAAAACGAAATCGCCAAAAAAAATTAATTCAATTTATTTTGTATAAGGTGTAGGAAGTGGAAGAATGCAATTCTGAGCCGTCCATCTGCTTATAGGGGACTGAAATTGGTTTTAAGGCTCTATCTCTCATAGTTTCGGAGATAATCGCGAAAAACGAAATCGCCAAAAAAAATTAATTCAATTTATCTTGTATAGGGTGTAGGAAGTGGAAAAACGCACTTTTGAGCCGTCCATCTGCCTATAGGGAATCCAAATTTCCTCAGGAATCGAATGGAATAGGTTTTAAGGCTCTATATCTCATAGTTAATTGATGGTGAGTTTAATTCTCCGTCGAACAGCCTTTTTTTCATCCCTTAATCTCAATTAGGAGGGGAGAGGTGAATTTTTAATTCGCAGGCGAATGGTGAAAAGTCACTGTGCACCGCGAAACAATTATTTTTCTCACTGGCCCATGACAAAAGTCATGGGCCAGTGAGACGAGGATCGATTGATGGAGAATTTAATTCTCCATCACACCGTCTGTGTTTCATTCCTTAATATTAATTAGCCAGCAAATAAATCACCTGAAAAACATTGAGAACATGTTGAGGACGTGGAGGGCATAAATTCCCCTCCGAAACTATCCCCGTGACAGCGGGACTGCTATATACTGCCGAGTTACCGGCACAGGCAGCTCATCGTCCAGCCGTCAGATTCGACCGTGGCGCCATCCCTTATTTATTAATTGCAATTTATTAATTTCACCGATGATATATATATACATGTGATACATTGTATATTATATATATATATATATGAAGTGAAAAAAAAATTTACCACTGAAGAATTTGAAATTATGTCACTGAAGAATTTGAAAATGCCGCGTGTTTTTTTTTTGAATACTTCGTGTCACATATTGACCAATCAGAATTAAGGATTAGCGGTCTGGCAGTTTCGAGATATTTCGATATAAAACAACTTCACGTCTCTTTCATCTTTAGAAAATAAGATTTCCTGCTCAAAGTTATTAAAGTTTTTTGATCCCAAAGCCCATTGATCTCCATTATCGCTTCCTGGAGATTAATGTGCTTGAATTTGTAAACATATCGATAACTTTCAGCCAGAAATTTGTTCAGAAAATTGGAAAATTAACGACATTCTATTACCCCGTAGTGGCGTTCCATGCTATTTCAATCGAATTTTTTTAGATTTTGCTGGAAATTTGATATGATAGGGGAGCATGGGGCAAAATGAAACACGGGGCAAAATGAAACAGTGGGAAAATCTCGTCATCTAAAGGAGATAGGACATTTTTGAAGAGGACCTTTTTTGTAGCTTGTAAAATTCTCTACAAAAAAGGTTTTCATGAAAATCGTCCTATCTCCCTTAGATCACAAGAGTTTCTTGCTGTTTCATTTTGCCCCGTGTTTCATTTTGCCCCACCGCCCCCTATAGAAATACTCCATTATCGCTTATATCTCCATAAATAATTCATAACATTCATTTAAAATAATTATGTTATATTTTGGTTTTTCCCTCAGGGGATCACTGTATCTCAGGGAAATAATAAATTGCTTCCAATTTAATCTTGTAAAAAATGTATAAAATCTCGAAATTTATTCTATTATAAAATTTATCAATTTGTAAAATATACAGTAGAGAATCTTTACATGTTTATATAGTAAAATATATGATTGTCTATATAGTCAAGACCTAAACATTTTCTCCTGAAGAACTCAATTTTTTCCAAATTAGTAGCGAAACGGTAAAACGGTTTGTTTTTGACAATCGGTCAGTTTTCAACGAATATCTCGAGATCTAAGGCAGATAGCAAAATTTTTGATATAACCTTTTTTATAGAGCATATTGAGAGCTACGAATAAGGTGATTACAAAAATTTTGCTATCTCACTTGGATTCGGAGATATTCCTCAAAAACTCAGTTGAGAGCCAAGTCGACTTGAACGGTTTTACCGTTTCGCTACTGAAATTTCCTACTGTGGATGCATTATCGGCGGATTGTTGATTTAGGTGTGGTGGGTGAGTTTAAGCTAGGTGCCCCCAGATCAGCTGATCCTCAGTGGTGATGGCAGATGAAAACATGGTCAACAGCGCGGTTGAGCCTCACCACGACGAGGAAATCGCAATTGACGAGGATAATGGGGAGAATTACAACGAAGAAGGTAAGACTTCTCTCAAGGAATCAGTCGCTCCTAACAATGGATTTTTCACGTTTACAGGCACGTGACAATCACGTAGAGAAAAACTAGTTAGCCAATATTTTCCCTCGATAAGGATATTATAAATTTTCGCTTCCGAATGGAAGCTTTGTAATCGTTCAAATTTAAGTTTTGGATTTTTGTGTTCTATCGTATTACATATTTGTGGTATAACAACGTTTTTCTTCAATTGTTCACTAATGAATGGATTAAATTTTTTTTCTAACGTTGGGCCGTATCGATCGCCATTAATTATAATTCAATTCTTCGGTTAGTTTTTTTAAACATGGGGCAAAATGAATCAGCCGAAAAACGACTATTTTACGCAATTCAGGCGAAAAAAACATTTTATCAACTTTTGTTTTTCAACTTTTTTTTATTATTGGAAGTACTGGTGAGAATAATAATTTTCTATTTGTTTTGTAATTCAGTTGATTACAATTCAATTGATTAGATTAGGCCGATTATACTTTTCTTTTTTCATTCGATTGAAATTCAGCATCATTTTCATTTTCCCCCTCTGGACTTTGGATTTTGCTGTTTCATTTTCTTTTTAATTGATCCATTGACAAAATCTTCTCTGGTCAAAACTTCGCAATAATTTTCCATTCTACTGAATGGAAAATTATTATTCTCATCAGTACCTCCACGAATGAAAAAATAGTTAATAAAAAAAATTTTTTTTGCTTCAATTGCATCAAACAATGGTTTAGTATGAATAAAACTTATGTATGAATAAAATTCGTCTATTACCAATGAATTATACACCATAGAAGGAAATTTTATGCAAAATATAAAATCATAGGCATAAAAATCGCATAGATTTCTCATTTTCTGTCCTAAAACTACTCATCACTGAAATAAATGGGCTGAAATTGATTGATAAACACTTCATTTTTCCAGAATTTCAGTCGCTGAACGCGCAATTAGATCAACTAAACTCAGCGTTAGACACGATCGAAATGAAAACCGACGATGTTCATGCTGAATTAGTGGAATTATTAAAATCCAACAAGGAAACGAGAAAGCAATTTCAGGAGAGTGTGAATGAGGGAAAAACAACGACGAAGCCCCCAGACTCCCAGCAATAATGTAAAAAAACAAAAATATTTTCCATTCCCTTGACCGTATTCAACTGTATTTTCAACGAATTCAGACATCAAATTGAAACAGAATTGGAATTTAGTTGAAGAAATTCGCGTTTATGATTTTATGGAGTCGATTCCTCATGTACAGTGCTTAGAATTAAGATTTGAAAATATTTAAAACGATAATTATGGTAATTATGATGAAGTATTTTATTGTCAGTGCTTAATGCAAGTGCAATAAAACTATGATCACCAGGAAGTACAAAAAATTGTTGATCAATTTGTTAAACGTTGGGTTCAGAGAAAAGAAGTTTTCCAATAAAAAAATTTCATGAAAATCTCGTCTTCAAAACCGGATCTATAAATTATTGTGACAATATTTTAGAACGCAAAACGTCTAGAAAAAAAAGTCGAAGTTTTTTTTCTGGAGAATAGGGAGCTTGCATGATTTTTAAATATTTTTTTACCTTTAAGTTGAGACCCTAAATGAATGATTTTGCATGCACAAAAGTGCTAAAAGTAGCTCGTTAAAGAAAATTATTATATTATAAATTATCAAAACTTCAAGGTTTTCAAACGCTCTGGAATGCCTAATGACGTCACAAGGTGAGTTGAGTGCTGCACCTAATCACGCATTATCTTCTAAAAAGACACCTAAATGTCATCTTTCAGATAATTTTTTACTTGTGACGTTGACCTTGTGACGTCATTAACGAAAAAATTGGCGTTGAAAACCATCGATTTGTAAATTAATTTTTTAATTAATTTCCCTATTCCATGAACTGCAGAAAATGTTTTTTGACATTTTTTCATAATTCTAATTATGTCAAGGATATTTGCGAAATAATCCCCGGAAAATATTCAATTCATCCGTTTGGGATGTTTGAATTTGTCGTAAATCTTATCTATTGAATAAAGCAAAATACAAAAAATTTAATGAAATTATCAGATACGTATTTTTTCACTCCAAAAAATCATGAGAAAGAATTGTATTATGTTGTGATAATTGGCTCCAACTCATTAATCTCTCATTACTTATCAAAATAAAAAAATACGTGTACAATAGTTTGACTCCAATTTGCGTATCCAGCACTAAAAAAATCAGGCAAGCTCCAAATTTGCTAAAAATCTTCCTTTGAACTATTCTGCTAAATCAGGCGAAAATACAGAAAACTTTCTTGGGGAGAATTTTTCTAGCTGAAAAAAATGTCTCTTAATATCGTCCTCTGAACCCACTTATGCCAGAGATAAATAAAAGAATGAATTCAGAATGAAAATGTAAAGGCAGAAAACATCATCTTCTCATATTTCCGAAAGTCGATCTCCTCGATCATGTGAACATTCGGCTCGTTGTCTTGAAGGTGATCCAACACCACTTGGCCCCTGGTCCTCGTGCCCCTGAGCTCGATGTCCGCGTGATAATCCGTTTTCTTAGTCACTAAATCAGGATTTAAGACAATAGCTGCTACGAAGGCGTCACAGGGTCTGTAGAACTCTTTCTTCATCTTTTTTGAGTAGATTCCCCCTTCCACTTTGTTTATCAATTCAACCGCTTTGGTGGACTGCTTCCCGAGAATATTGTCTCTCCAGTGCTAAAAATTAATCATTATTTATTGGTGATTATTAATGAGAGTGACATACCATTTCAAATAAACTGGTGGAAAATTATTTGGACATTTCAGATGAAAAATATTGATATTCTAAACTTGTCTTTTTTTTACTTTACGTTTTTTTAATTGACACATCTAATAATTTCCGAGGTATTAAAACTATTGAAAATTTTTTAAATTCAGACAATTATTCTTTTAAATTCTCAATTTATTCAAAATTCAAGTGCATGCAATCTTAAATTTTCATCATGATTTAAAAAATTCAAACTATCAGTGAAATTCCATAAACGATTTGATCTGAAATTGAATCAAAATTCACAAAAATTCTCATGTATCTGTTACTTAATTTCCAAAAAATTCGTAACTGTGTGCATTAGAAACGAAGAGCTTCACAAAATAATTTCAAAAAAAGTTTTCTGACTTTTCACCATAAAATTGAATCTCCATTCATTCAAAAAGTGAAAACCTTATGCTTGTCCAGGAATTTTATAATATTAATGTATCAATTATGTTGATATTATAATTAATATGTATACTATTCATAAAAGTCTGTGTGAAATTCGTAAACTTCTGAATAATTTTTGCATATTGAAGGCCTTAAGGAATTCTTACGTGTGTTATTGTAGATTTAATACATGTTTCCCATGGAAGTAGCCACAGGGGTTTGATATTGCTCCCTAGAACGATATGTACACTCTCACAATCTGCGTAGAAATTGAATTCAGCCTGGGAGGAGGCATTTCCTACAGCTGAAGACAAAAGAAAAAGATTCATTAATTTGTCTCTTCTCCTCAAATGTACGGCATGCAATCAGTAGCGAAGTGGTAAAACGGTACAAGTCAATTTCGCCTATTTTTCACCAGTTTTCAATGAATATCTCGGAATCTAAGGGAGATAGCAAAATTTTTGTTATAAACTTTTTTGTAGAGCCGATTGCGTGCTACAATAAATGTAATTACGAAAATTTCGCTATCTCCCTTAGATTCGGAAATATTCCTCAAAAACTCAACTGGTCAGCAGTAAGATGTCAGCTTAAGGCCCGGGTGTACTAGCTTTCGAATGTTATCTGGATTGTTTTCATGTTTCGTAATGCAAAATTGTTAATTAAGTGGTACATCATGTAGAAATTCCTAAAAACTATGATAGAATGATAAAAAAAAATAGAAAAAATTCTGAACTTTTTCAAAGAGCGTTTTTAATTGGGATTCAGAATGAGTTGAAAAAAGGGAAAATTACAAATATCCCATTCGCTGTGGCAAATTATCTATTAGCTGTCATTTTCCATGGTGGATGGCAAAACACTAACCCCTCATGGGAAGTGACAGCTAAGTATCTCAATTTTCAAAACAGTGGTATGTAGTCATCTGCCATTTTTGTGTGATAAAAGGGTGATTAAAAAAATTCTCCAAAATATTACAACTTTTTTCAAAGAGCCTTTTCCGTAATAAATGTCTCTGTGCAGTGTGGGAAAAGATTTACGAAATCAGTCTTCCCAAATCTGATACATTTTTCAATTTCTTGTTATTCAACTTATTCGGAATATAAATAAAAAATGCTCTTTGAAAAAATTAAGAATTTTTTCTACTTTTTTTGTATTATTCATTCACAATTTTTCAAAACTTCTGCATGATGCAGGACTTAATTGACAATTTCAGATGACGAAAGATGAAAAAAAACATCGAGATAACGTTCGAAAAACAGTACACCCGGGCCTTAAACCGTTTTACCACTTCGCTACTGAAATTTAATTACCTGTTGAGTTGCCTCCCATGATGTAAAAATCCTTGATAATATCGAGAATTTCAGGGTACATTTTAATTGCAAGGGCGATATTCGTTAGGGGACCCAAACAAACCAGAGAAATTTCATCTGCAAGTAGAAAAAAATTGAAATTTCAAACTGTCGTTTTGTTTCTCAAGGAGAAGCCGCACTGAAATTTAAAAATCGCAGGGACCTAGGTCTTTATTTATCCTTTAGCCGCTTAATGACTCAATTTTCTAAATATTGACTACCGGGAAGAAATTTCAGTGCGGTCTCCCCTTAATCCGAGAAAGTTAAGGGTTTTTATTTTCGAACATCTCACTGGGATTTTCAGTTATTATTTTATGTATAGCGACAACTGCATGGTCAGGCTGGAGTTTACTGATGTCCGGATCGTCCGTGAAAACATCCCCGAAGCCATCATGTCCGTGATAACGAACTTCCTCAGCTTTTTTTGATGTCTCTACTGCAATTAGAGCGGAATGTGCTCCTTTGTACACTGGAATCTAAAAAATGTAGCATTTGCTATTGAAAGAGTTTTCAATTTCCTTTTTTCAGTACTAAACATGGTTATTTTTATTGTAAAGAGGTTTAGTGCTAAAAAAAGGTTTATTTGAAACCCCAATCATTCAATTTTTTTCGTTTTCAACTAATAAACGAAATTATTTTCTTCACATTAATAAAAACTGCCATCCAAGACGACAAGCTAAGCATTTGGAATAAAATAGATGATAGTCGTTAAATTCGGGCACTAGCATGGAGTTTTATGGGATTTAATATTTTGGATATCTCCATTATTTTTCTGGGTTCTCCAAATTTGGTTTTTTTACCTTCAGATTTGTTCTTTCGAACATTGAATTCAGTATATTTCTACGCATTCCTATTTTTGTATTTATTTTTAAGGCTTTTTGTAGACAAATTATGGACTTTGAAATAAATTCGAAAGTGAAAACAAATTTGGCTATATTTTACGGCAAAAGACCGTGAATTTGATTTAAGGGGAAAAAGTCGATTGAATTTCAAGTTTCAAGAAAATTTCAAGAAAATTTAAGTAAAGTTCCAATTTTTTTTGTGGCAAGAAGACGTAAATTCAACAATTTACATGAATTTTCAAGTGAAAATGAATCTTCACTGCCAAATTTCCTGAGAATTCAGAGAAATCTGGAATTCATGGATAAATTTCTCTGAATTTTTCTGATTTTTCATTAATTAAACGGAAAGTTGCAGTTTCCACGGATTTTTTCATGAAATTATAAATCTTCAGACAAAATTCCTTGAAATCTCAGTAAAAATGTACTCGTTAGAAACTTCCAAAGCCTTTACTGCAAATTTTAGTCGAAAATTTTCAACACTGTAATTGAAATTTTACACGAAGAATAAACTTGCAGAAAAAATACTATAGAAATCAGGTAAAAATTACGTTGTTTGACACAATTTTGATGTATCGACAGATTCGCAGAAATCTATTCTCCGCGCGAATTCGTATGGAGGGTCTTGTAAAAATTACGTTTCGATTCATAAAATTAATTTTTCTTTTCAGATTTTTTCCAAATATTTATGTAAAAATTCATGACAGAGCAGTTTGCATCACTTTTACATTTTGTCACGTAATTATTCTTACAGAAAAATCGATGATAATTCGTCACAAGGATGAGTAAACAATACTTCGACGTAAAAAAATAAAAAATAAACTTACATCAAGTGCGTTACAAGCCTCAAGTGTCCTGAAGACATTCCTCACGACATGATCCAGTTTTGTATTCCCATTGACACACGAAACAGCTTTTATCTCCAATTGCTTCTGTTTATGTGCCGCAATCAATAGCACCAGAGCTGCCGCATCGTCGTACCCCGCGTCGCAATCAACAATCACTTTCTTCATCTTGCAAGATCAGTCCAACTCTTTCAAACTTGAAAATAATCTCCGGATCTATAAAAATCAATTGCGATTCATTCACTCGATTCTGCCAGTTCGAGTTCTGTGGATTCTTCATCAATCAGATAAGAAATGCACTCTAGACTGACGTAATACCCCGAGCAGTGAGAAGTGGCCAGATAAAACAATTGAGAAAACGTGATTGGATTTCGATTTCAGCTTTTGATTAATATCTCTGAAATTAACGAGGATATCGTAATTTGCGTGAGGAACTTTTTTGCAGCTTCCTCCGTCAGATCCACAAACACTCGTTAAAAACTTATCTCGAATGAAAATGAGGACAGTACGGGCTATCAATATAGGGTTGATGCTGATATTGAGAGGAGGGGAGGGCAAGATTGTCCAAAAATTTTCTTACATAATACTTGAACGACCCCATTAGACTCATCTGGTTCTGCCACTTTAATAATATTAATTAATTAATAATATTAATCCCTCAAGGGCGGGGTTCATATACGTATATGGACCCAAGCAAAACGCATAAACTGGATAATTCCAAAACTGTGACAGATAATCCAATTCTACCGACGCTATTCGACAGCTGGATAGTGTAGCTTCAATTTTTAATGCGTTTTATAATTTTTCATGCGTCAGAATTTATCGAATCTCAGTAATGTTAAGCGCATGTCAGGCGTCGTAACAGAAAGGCCTCGTACGCAAGGGGTTAATGAATTATTTGAAATAATCAATTATTTTAAGTAACAATAATAATTCTTTTCAGTAAAATATTATGAAAGTTTTTAAAAATGTCTTAATCTAATTAAATTTTGCGAGATAATCATATTATGATTATCTCGCTAATTGGGGTTTTTAGGTGAAAATACACGTATCGAAAAATTCAATAGAAAACCTAGCGAATTTGCTAGAAAATTCTATCAGAATTCTATGGGGTTTCTATAGGATTCTATCTATCTATTATATATCTATTGGAATTCTATTGAAAAATTCTTCTTGTTTTTTGCGCTGATTCTGTTGGATATTCGATAAGAAAAAGTCAATAAATTTCGAAATTCTGTTTCATTTTTCTCTTGAGATTTTTTGTATAAGAATGCTTGGGCATCAATTTTCTCCACTCGGATTCTGCAATGCAAAACAAAATCCAACGGAAAAAACTTGGAAAATTTGTGTCCGATAATTCTAACAGAAAAAAATTTAAGAGAAAAATTCAAACAGATCTTCGAAGTCTATTGAGTTTTTCTTTTTAAATATCCAATAGAATCAGCGTAAAAAAGAAATAGCATTTTTCAATAGAATTCCAATAGAAATCCTATAGAAACCGCATAGAAGTCCTATAGAATTCCGATAGAATTTTTTTGCGACTTTGCTAGGTTTTCTATTGAATTTTTTCATGCGTGTATGAAAAGATTTTTCTGTAGGAATTGGTTTCCTCTATAATAAAAGTCCTTTGATATTTTCTTCTAAAACAATATTAATCAGACCCTTTCAAACTTGAAAATGATGTCTGAATCTCTAAAAATCAATTGCAATTCATTCTCTCGATGCTACCAGAATGTGATCTGTCGATTCTTTATCAATCAGGTAAGAAATGCATTTTAGACTGACGTAATACCCCCAGCATTGAGAAGTGGAGTGATAAAACGAAAAAACATCATTAGATTTCTAATTCGAGTTTTAATTAATATCTCTGAAACTAACGGAGATATTCCAATCAGAAGACCTTTTTTCTAGAAGAGAAAATTCCCCAAGAAAATGCTCTTGGTGTTTTCTTCCAAAACAACTTATTATTGCGATTTTTACCGAAATATAAGCGGAAGTTCTTGTTTTATGATTCACGACTTCATTACTCAATAAATTTTTCAATTATGATTATCTCGAAAAATAATTATTATATCAGAAAATACGAAAGGACTTTTTTGTAGGAAATTTTGTCCACTATCAAAAAAGTTTTCTGACCTTTTCCTCTAACTTCTATCAATACTGAGATATTCATCAAAATGTTAAAGACGGAATGTCCAAAAGGGAATCGCTACTTCACAATTCCACCAATGAATAATTTTTCAACGTTAATGATCTCGACAACGAGGGATTCCATGAGAAAACATCAAATAAATTTTTTGCAGGGAATTTCCTCCTCTACAAAAAATATTATATCGAATTTTCTCCTAAAACCACTCATTATAGAGATATTTATCAAAAATAAGTGACCCGGAGTTGCGGTTTTATGCACCACCACTGGATTTTTTCAATGTCATTGATCTTATAAATGAATGATGTTAAGAGAAAACACCAGTAGACTTTTTTGTAGGAAATTTTGTCCGCTATGAAAAAAGTTTTTTGACCTTTTTCCCTAACTTCTATCAGTACCGAGATATTCATCAAAATATGAAAAATGGAATGACCAAAATGAAATCCTGCTTTACTATTCCACTAGTGAATAATTTTTCAACGTTAATTATCTCGACAACGAGGGATTCCATGAGAACATATCAAATAACTTTTTTGCAGGGAATTTTCTCCTCTACAAAAAATATTATATCGAATTTTCTCCTAAAACGACTCATTATCGAGATATTCACTCAAATACGACAAGATAAATTTCCATTTCATGCGACACACTCTACAGTCGAATCATTTTTTATCATAAGTTATCTCTAAAACTACTGACTCTAAAAGAAAACATCAGAAGACTTTTTTCCACGAAATTTCCTTCTCTACAAAAAAGGTCTTCTGATTTTTTCTCTCAAACCCACGGATTACCAAGATAAATCCACAGTTATCAAAAGTTTTTTTTTCTCGTGATCAGCGACTTGCATTTGTTAAATCAATAAATCCTTGATACCGCAATTTTTACATTTACAACTGCTTAGCTATTTCCATGTGATCAGAGGGAAACCAATGAAAGTGTCTGAACTCATGGAGAAACTCACACAAGTGTCTGCAGACATGAAAAACATCGAGACAGAATTCCCAAACGTCTCATGCAACGAAGAATTGATCTGCGTAAATCTGCATTTATCTCGATAACGAGTGATTTTACGAGCAAATGTAAGAGGACCTTTTTTATAGCGGAATAAATCCTCTACAAAAAAGGTTCTCGGACCGTTTCGCCTAGAGTCGATAGATACGGAGATAATTCGCAATTAAGGATTGAGGAGGAATTTCTGGGGTCGATTGAATCTAGTGAGACGGAGGAGTGGAAATAATGTTCTTGAGGGCTGCGAGGGGTTTTCGGGTGAGGTTAGGGTCACGGATGTCTCCGGTGGCCAGCACGTACCAGCACAACGATCACTCAAAGTCTAAACTTCAATTTTTATCATCAAATGTCGAAAGGAAGAAAATCAACTTATTTTGGAGTGCGATTTTCCTGTTTTCGGGAGTGAATCCGTGATTTTGAGGTTTTGTGAAAGGAAATCGAGGGGTTTGGGGAGCTATTGAGGGATAGAGTGCGAAAGATGGATGAGGCGAAGTTCCTGAAACGGTGAGAGGATTTTTTTTAATAGGAAATCAGGATTTTTGAAGGTTTTCGAGGGCTTCAGGGGCTTATTGGGGTGTTTTCTTCGGTTTAGGAAGGTGAGGTCGGGGACACTGGATGTTCACCCCACGGAGAAGGCTCTGGTGGTTAACTACGACGTGGAGGCACTCATTCTGGGGGAGCTGGGTGACCCCATGCTCGGGGATCGCAAGGTAATTCGGTTTTTTGGGATTTAATTGAGAGATATTTTTGTATTTTTTAATACGGATTATGTTGTGATGGGGAAATCAGTAGTTTTTTGTGGAAGAAGGAATTTCCTCTCAGTTATCGTCGAGACAATAACTACTCCTTTTTGACGAGAAATGGGTAATTTTTTAGGATTATATGTTCATCACTCAATGGTTTTAGGGGAATAGGTCGGAGGATCTCTTTTGTGGAGGAGAAAATTCCCTTCGAATTATATCTTCTCATATTTCTTCCAAACGAACTTATGAACGAGATAATTAAAGAATTAATAACAGAATATGCATTATCAGATATGAAATTTGTCTACTGAGCCAGAATGAGACTGTTTGCAGGGCTAGAAATCGAAAATTCTCTTGGCATGCAGCTGTGAGATAAAAATCTCATGATAGCTTGAATCGATACTGTTATGTCCAGAGAAGGATTTTAGCGTCGAATGGACATGTTTTAATTGTCACATTAAAATCAAAGCTGA